GTATTTTGAACAGTTTCTTCCTCTAACGGATATGTTGGTACTTTGTTTTTTGAAGAAAAGATCGTTCGGGATATCGATTTCTAAATGATATTTAAGGATCGTTGAAATCAATGAAAGAGTGATAATCTACAATAATTAATAGATAATCTACAAATGCACCGACAATCAGAATGGAGGAAAATACGAATGAGCAATGTTTTAAACTTATATATCATTAAGTCATTTATACTTCATATCATTTTTATTAATAATTTATAACAATAAATGATTTCGAAGTCGAAAATGCAACTCAAGTTCGTCTTAATAAATAACATTGTACTATAGAGAAAATACGTATCATTTAAGAAAATAAACTTGACTTCGAAATTTCGAAGCGGATAATTTGCAAGAAATAATTTATAATACACAATGTGCTTCTTTATTCAAAACAATATTTGTAGAAATATTTTATTGATAAGTTCAATTTTTCATAAAATCAAGTTTACGGGATAAAAATAATTCATTCAGGTTGTGAATTTACAAATTTGTAAATTAAAAAATCGTCATATCTAGTATTGTTCATAAAACTATTATATTTCAATCCATTTTTTCTAATTCTTTTAAATAGATGTTAATAGTCAAATATATACTATTTTTCGTCCCAATTTTCATCAGTCTCTGTTTTAAATCGTTTTATATCCCTTCAGTGTAGTCAGTCTACACCACATTCAGTTCAATGAATAATTCTCGAAACAAATCTGGCAACACTATTCATATTTTTTGATTTTCGCAGTGCAAAACTTGCTGAATCAGTACAACAGAATGTAACACGAAAATTAACGGAGTCCCGAGACCCCGAAATCGTGGGCCGAAAAAATACATTGGATGCGAGGTCTACTCATATATTTCATCTGTGGTAGAAGTATAGGTACATATATAATCTATTTCATTTTAAAATGAATAATAGTTAAATATTATTAGATAATAGTTAGAAAAATATATTTTGAAATGTATTTTAATAATAATACTTTATAATTAGTGGAGGTCAAATCAAGTACAGAATGTATGCACAAATATAGATTAATTCTAAAATCTAATTTTTAGTTCACAAAATTTCAAATTACACATGTTTAAAAATTATTATTTTTATAGAGCAAGAAAAATAAGGATAAAGTGAAATGTTGTTATATATATGCTATTGGCAATCATTCCGGCAACTATGTACGTCACAAATGGAAGTCATTATCATTTGTCAGCCCATTTGCTAGTTAAATATTTAGTTTTGCACATAAAATTGTTATTTTTTAGGTCGAGTAAGTAACGTTTTATTTATACAAATACTATTCATTCACAGTATTATGTTAAATTATATAAAATTATTTTTAATTAGTTTCATTTTAACATATTAACAATTATATATGAAATTCATATATTTTTTTCTAATCATGCTAGCAATTGGAAAAAATATAGAAAGTTACTAAAAGAAATCGAAAATGGATTTATTAAAACTTGAGCAAAAAGAATTGATATTAATAATGAATAATTTATTGTGAATTGTAAAGATATCAATAGCATTACGATATCTTTATTTTATATTTTTAGAGACAAAGAATAAACATATTCGTATTGTTAAAGATAAATAAACTCTAATATGTAGAAGTAGAGTAAGAATACAGCAGCATGGAAAAATTTTATCTATTTCGGTTTATGTATCATTTTTATTTCTAATATCTCATTCAGTACTGTATTAAAGAAAACAAAAGAGACATATTCGATGTACATCGATCGATTTATTTTACAAAACAAATTTTATAAAAAAGATTCTAACAAGTTTCTAAAATAAATCGTTTATAAACTTTCAATGATAAAATTCCTATACCCCAGGACAAAAGGACAGCACATTTTATATTTTCTTATACCATGTATCATAAAGTAGAAAAAATGCGTAGATTATTACATCAGTATTTTTGGGCGTGGATACATGTGTAGTATGCTGAATGTCATTACCAAGACACAATTTCCCTAACAGATTCAAACGAAAATTGTGCGAGGCAGACAAAAAAATAGCACAAGTCGAATATTTACGCTTCTCAGTCGTATAGAAACTACTGCAAGAAACATTCGTGAAATATAGTCAGTTAATTGTGTATATAAGAAATAAATAAATTTGTAAAATTTATGGATCGCGAAAAAAAATTAAATCCAGCTAAAATACATAAAATATTTCAATGTTAAACGAAGAACATTATTCTGTGAGAAAAATAGACAAAATAGTTGATAGAAGTCGTAAAATAATAACGAATTTACTAAAAGATCCCGATAATTATTGAAAAAAATAGTTGACGTCCGATATCTAACATTTCAAAATAAACACGCTATAATACGTATAACGTAAAATTTAAACTTGACTGCGGAAAAAAAAATTACACAAATGTTAGAAATGTTTGACGTCTTTTAAAGAATTGTAAATGTCTGAAACAACGAAAATTGCAACAAAAATCTTGGTTAAAAGAAAAGCATAAACTGTGACGTTTACAATTTGCAGAGAAACATATTTATATGAATAAGAAATGGCGAAAAGTCATATTTATTAATGAAAAAAGATTTTAGACGCACTTGATAACTATTATTATCATAATTTATAAAAGGAGCAACAACTTCTGAATTCATGGAAGGCTGTGGTATAATGATTTGGGTAGGTATTTACTACAAGAAAATGGAAATAAAATTTATTACAGGAAAATTGAATAGTAAAAAGTATATTGAAATGATTAAATAAATTAACACGTATACGATATGAATTGTAGGAAATAAGTACATCTTTCAACATATAATACGAGTGTGTAAAGTCACCGCGAAAGCAGTAAAACAAAAAAATTCGTATTTTAGAAGAGCCAGCCAAGTTTCCGGACTTAAATATTATAAAAAATTATTGGGGGAATTTAGAGAGAGCCGTATATCAGAATGGAAGGCAATTCGCAAATATTGATGGAAAGAGCTCATAAAATCTATAAATAAAATTATAAAAACCTATAAAATAAAAACCTATAAAATTATAAAAACTTATAAAAACCTATAAAATCTTTGCCTTAAAAAATGGCTTTCGTTATTAAATGCAAAGGAAATCATACTAAGTATTAAATAATTATTATGTTAAGGCCAAGAATACGTAACATTTATGACATGGATATGCCCCAACTCAGCATGGCAAATTAGGAATTTGACTACTTAAAAAACTCCAAACAAGGTGCTCCATAAATTTGTCCCAAGTGCGACGAAGTTTTCCGCACTATAGAGATCATCATGTTGTTAGATATAATACATTGTTAATACGTTGTTAATATAATACGTTGTAAAGATATAATTAAGAATTATAGTTTACAACTTCACAGAACTATTTACTTGAACAAGGAAGACTTCCACTCCGGAACGGATACAAAAATATTATAACAATATATTGTGTTTGCTGTAGTGCCAAATTGTTTCTGTCCTGTGGGCTCTTTCTGCTGTCTTATATATTTTATCCCATTGGTACTTTGATTTCTAGTCGAAATACCTTAAGACGACTTAGACTGATTCTTAACAATGTCATAAGAAGTGCATACTCGAGGGATTATGTATGCATAGTTTGGATAGTTTTCAGAAGACGACCGTTCTCAGAAATACTCCCACTCTTATGGATGGGAAATTTTGAAGACCTTTCCTCCATACTTCCTCATTGGTTTGGTACATCCCCTGTTCCATAATTCTTCCTTTGCAAAGGGTAATTCCAAACTCGATAAAGGAAAAGATTTTCACAAGAGTTCAGAATATTCAATTATTAAGTTGTCACAGTTTATACAGTAAAAAGAGTATCATGACAATAATTATACAGTTATAGTGTTTCTGCGTTAATAGTTACAATAATCGTCAGTTAATCAGTTACTCAAATAAGTTAATAATAAATCATAGGTTAGCAAGATCCATCATAGTCATTCATTTCTCACATCAGTAGGTGGTCCTTCGAATCCCAAAGTCTTCAAAAGGGACGTAGGGGTACATGATCGACACCAGTCGTAATTGTTCTTAACAGATATACATATATTGAATTTTTAACAATTCTGTTAAGAATACTAATATTAAGATCAGCAATCCTGTTTCATAATGATAAAAGCGAACTACTAATATATATTACAGAATACTTAATGTTGATTTATTTCAATAAAATAAAAAATTACAATAAAAATTATTGTAAAGCATGTGTATGGTACATAATATACTAGTAATTAATTGTACTATATTTCGATGTAACAATGAATCAGAATATTCAAATAATATACATATGTTATGTGTGATACATTAATGTGAAGTAAACTATTTTTCTCATCTCAGTCCACTAAATTTTTATTTGTAAAATAAAATAACAAATACGGCATATTAAACCATGATAAAAAGTTAAAGAATATGAAAAAAAGAACCGCAATTATATATGCATAAATAATATCACAATACATTGAAACAAATAGTTTTTTTAAATTATTGTTGCAGCGCGATGTCCCAAGAGTTATAACGCGATTCCCGCGCTTAGAGTTGAGGCTGATAGCAACTGTGTGTGAAGTATGGATGAAAAAGTAAGAACCTTCGTGAAATGAGCGATTTCGATTGGTGGATGTATAATTGAAATTGTGTGTGCTGGCGATATAGCTAATTATAGCTCGAGTCGCAGTAATACGCACTGACGACGAATTGATTATATGATTAACTGCGGAGTGATGAATATCGTAATGACAAATATTGTTGTATCACTGTCGAAGGATGTATCACTGACGAATGTTACATCATTGTCTTTCCCGCCGATGGCGAGTTTGTTTTATGGAGAGATAATGGCGAGCGTGGGCCAATCACTTTAAACTATAAGCCGTTTGGCTCTGACGTAATTCCTCAAAAGACAGTGAAGTTATTAAGCATCGATACAGTGATGTCAACCGTCTTTAAAAGACACCAGGTCAGCACGCAGGTCAGCAACCGAGAAACATAATAATAAACTATATGCGTCACAATAGCCGCAATAGAGCGTGGTTAGGACTTCTTGTTAGCGTAAAAAAATAGGGTAAGTCTTTATTATTCAAAATTTATTTTATGTGGACGAGAAGCCTAACGTCTTTTGTATGCATAATTCTAACATATTAAGTATATTAGAATTATGAGAACAGGACGATTTCTTAGTTTATCTATTAAGTCATTTATTTTTGTAAATTATTTCAAAATCATGGTAAAGTAAGACGAAAACCGATCGTTGATGTTTATGACTCAAAAGTCTCAAATGTTAATGATACGATACAAAATGACAAAAATATTTCAGAACATTTCGGAAATTGAAACATGTGTAGGGAAAGAATCGTGATTTTGACAACATATTGTAAAATCATCAAAATCAATAAGGAAATTAAGTAAGTAATTACTAAAGTTAATTATTTTTAAATTAAAATAATTTTAAATTAGATGATAAAATTATTAATATAACTAATAATTATATTACATGATAGAATTATTAATATAACTAATTAATAACTTTTCTTTTTAGAAATATAAAAAAAGATATGTTATAGGAATGTAACAAAAGATATATTATAAATTCTTTAAGAAAGTAAGTACTAATGATCTTGTTTAAAAAGAAACATATTTTTCTTTAGTAAGTATAATAATATAACAAAAATGAAATAAATATTAAAAATATATAAATATACAATATATTAGCTATAATACTTATTAATATTTTCATTTACGTTTCATTACGTAATATTTTACTTAAATACAGATACATCCTATTAGATCTTTTATGAAATATTTATAAAAATTCTATCCCCTTTGATGTTTCCATCTTCCTATGTACTTATCAGAGATTCAAACATTTCCTTTATGTCGTTAATAGTATTGAAGTAACTTAAAATTAAGAAGAGCAGTTAGTAATTAAAAATTAAAGATAATTACATTGAAATAGAAAGAGAAATTAAATGTTGAAATATATTTGTTAATAAAATTATACAATTATAAAATCAAAATTATAAGTGTAATAAGCAATACATAAAATTATAATGTAAATAAATAATATATAGTATACATAGTAGAAAAAATAATTGTTTTTTTTCTTATATGCAAATTATACAAATTACATAAATAATAAATCACAAGAGTCAATCATCTTATTTCTCAAAATTTTAATAGTGAAATAGTACAATAATTATTTTTCAATGATTTATGTATTCAAGACATTTTTGATTTTCCCTACAAGATGCAAAAGAAATATTTTATTAAAGAAATGTTTTATTAAAAAGTTACTATAAATATGATTTATTTTTCATTCAGTATGAATAGATGAGAATTAACGATGCTGATTAACATTTTTAGTCATCATTCTTTAAATATTACATAAATAAATTTTTAAACTTTTATTATCTTTTTAAGCAAAAATTAATATGATTATATGATCTGTGAAATTCATAATGCATTTATTAAAATTAATGAAAATCAATAAGAAATGAATTACGTAATATAATTCATAGATATCAATTTTATATATGTAAAAATGGATAATGCTTTAAAATAGATCAGTCAACATCATCAAATTGTTTCTTTAGTTTCTTTAGTGAATCAAGTATTATTTTGTATTACTATTGTAATTTTTTCATAAAACATTTATCGTGAAATATGTTCCTTTTTTTTTATTTAATTTGGACTGTAATTGATATTAATCCACTTTACTTATAAAATAGACTTTTGTAGATTTTCATCTAGAGAATAGGCAATATTTAATCTATATTTAATAAGAATATTTTCTTTTTCTTCTCTTACAAAGCAGCCAAATATGAATCTTAGGGTTTAAAGATTATTATATCAAATATCTTTTAAATTATGTTACATTCATTATCATAGTCCTCAGAAATATTTCATTTGATTTTTAAATGGTATGTTACCAAATTCTATACACAATATTACAGATAAAAGTTAGAACATCTGTAGAAATCTTTTACTACTTGTATGTAACATGTACATATACTTGGTAATACTTGGTTACCATGATTTGAAAGATCATTACTCCATACATTTATTTATAATGCCCTTTTTATTTAATTAGTTATTTTTTAATATATTCAAATAGTTATTCTTACTAGAAGCGCATTTTTTTGTTTTATTTATTTAATACTTTAATACTAAGAAGCAGTAACTGTATATAATAGTTTAATAATAAATAGTATAACAAATAATAGTTTAATAATAAATAGTATAATAAATAATAGTTTAATAATAAATAGTATAATATATAATATACAGAATGAAGCAATTGATTATTTTGAACATCTCCGTTTTTAAAGATATAAAAAAAATTTTTAAACAATTATTTAATATAGAAGAGACCATAATATGAAAGTAATAATTTCTTCTAACTGGAAAATAGAAAATCATTTCAAAGTTACCTCCACTTTATTTAAATAAAATGATATATTTTTTTACTCCATTAATCGATCATACTCGACATTCTCTATACAAAAATATTAACTTGTGTATGTTGAAATATTATTAATTCAGTAGATATTTTAAATTTATAAGGTTTATTATATGAAAGACAAGGGAAGACAATCGCAATATTCTTTATTCATATTGTCCTTGTATTTTATGCATAAATTTAAAGTTAATTTTAATCCTTTGTCCTCGACAAACTATTTTGTATCATCTACTTTTGTATCAACAATTTATTTATGAAGCATCATTACTTTGCATTGGAGATAATAATTCAAATGGTATTTAATAATGGTATTTAAAGTTTTCACACTAATATGCAAATGCATATTAGCACTTTATTTGAATGAGTAAATAAACATGACAATTTCGTGTAATATTATAATATTTACTCTCTTACTCTTGAGATTCTGAAGTATTAAATATATGTGGCAACATTTAGTGGGATAAAAGTTATTTTTTGAAACTGGCTTTTCATTTCTTTGGTAAATAAATGATTTTGTTTTATTACATGTATCATTTTTAGTCTATTAACTGTAATAAAATGACTCAATTTTGTGCTTTTTCAATACGTAATACACTATGATCTAAAATGTTTTTATCTTATAATATTGACTATAAACCTGTCATTCAGTACTAATCAACAATTTTTTATCAATAAAGTTCATATTTGCTAGCAACTAAATGATAATCGTTTGGTCGTTCTGCCTTTTGAAATTCCCAAATAGAAAAATGTATAAGAGATATAAATGTGATCTCACAATTATTTCTTGAGAACAGACCGCTGATATTTCAAACATGAGACAAGTTATTTGAAAGAAGGTGCATTGAATGATTAGGTACAATAGAATTGACGTCGAATGCGTAAATCAGAGAATTATTAGTTATTTTTATAGGGGATACGTTCTTCTGGCCTACTACCAGAATCAATAAATATAATGTGAAGGATGTATTATCGGGACGCGGTACCGTTAGGCCTATAAAATAATTGCGACGATTATTTTATGGGACTGATCTTTGCCAATAGCCGAAAATGACTTACTTTCTTAATCATGTATTCGGGAAGAACACAAAGAGAATTGGCCTTATATAAGAACCGACTCCAACACATCGTAATAATCATTACTAATGTCATCATTCATATTCGCAGTTGATATCTGAAACCGAGCAGTTCGATATACTTGCGTGTTATTCAAGCGGAAGTTCAAAAGGAAATAGAGTTCATACAACTGTAACAACTGGAATTGTCACTAAGCAAGGGCAACCTGAGCACGGACGGGACAGCCACCAAGCTTGCCTGCACAATGGCAGAAAAATCTACTCAATGGAAAAATCTACTCAGTGAAACGTAAGCACAGCGAGGAAGAAATTAAAATTGTCACTACCAGAAGATTAGTGTCACTCTCCGATTCTCTACTCGTCATTAATATAGATTAATAAAATCGAAGGTTTGGATATTATTAAGCCGGCTATTCAAACAAAAAGCAGGTATACTATATTTTTTAAATGCCTAATGACAGAATACGACACTGGAACACAGAATTCCTCACGGCTAAAATTTCAACACAAGAAAATCTAAATCATAACTCATTATAAAATCTACCAGCTATAAAATTTCATGACACTAAACCTCCTCCTATCTACGTACATGACAAAATATCAAGCTTCTGGACACTTTCAAAGAAAAATATAAAAACGCCTTTCAAATAAAATTTACGTCAAACAAACTAAAAATTATGTTCACAGATTTAAATGATTTTACTGATTTCAAAACTATATGTCAAAAAGAAAACATAGAACACCTACAAGGACTTATACGTCTTTCACAAACAAAGCATCAAAAGTCAGGACTTAAATCCAATTCTCTGTTCAAAAATTTCCACACATACAAAATATCCAATTTATCATGTTACTTTCACACCCGGAAGCTTTAGCACAGATAAATCACATTAGATATATCGAAAATATCAAAATATACTGGGAAAAATATGAATCACACAAGCGTTTCCGTTGTTAAGCAAATACCTCAGCAAACTGTAATAAAAAAGTAGTCTGCTTTAAGTGCATGGAACCATATGATTCCAGAATCTGCAAAAAAAAACTCTCGAAACTTTATCTACTTGCGCTACAAAGGAAGTCACCCAGCTAACTATTCAAAATGTCCTGCCCTACTAAAAAAAAAAAAAAAAAAAAAAAAAACACATACACAAACAAAATCCAACCGGTACAACAATCTTTACCTATTCTTCCTAACTCTCATCATTTTCTCATCTTTCCCCCCAACAAAAACCCCTATGCTCTCCCCCTTCCCAGCCAACTCACGGATTAGAACAAGACCTAATTTCCCCGCGGAAATATTTACATATATTAGATATTCAATGCAAAATCACATTTGCGCCAACAACACTAGCACAGGTCAACCGAGTCAGAATTATCGAAAATCTGAAGATATACTAGAAAAAGTTTGAATCCAAAAGATCCACAATATAGTGCTATCGCTGCCAAGCCCACGGACAAACTTTGATAAATTGCAATAAGAAGGTAGTCTGCGTTAAGTGTGCCAGGGCACACGACACTAAAGACTGTAACAAAGCACTGCAAGTACCTGCTACCTGTACAAACTGCAGAGGGAATCATCCAGTCAATTACTTGAGATGCCCAGCACTACTAGCATTCCCAGTCAAGAAGAACAAAATCTAAGCTTTAACCAACATCCGCTGTAATCCAGCATCCACTTCGAAAGCCTTTCCCACGCTAAACACCAAGCCAATTTTGCGCAAATTCTATTAGAAAACAGAAACAAATCAACACACACATATACACAAGCAACATATACAAACATAAGGCAGGCTCCCATCCTTAGACTCCCAGCAACACAATATGAGAGATCTATAAATGAAGACAATTGATCTTGACCTATTTCTAAGAATCATAATCTTAATACAGAAACACAAGCGGCCATACAAATAGTGAAAAAACTTGAAGCTGGCCATTAAAAACCCAGTAAATATCACAGTATGGAATACATGAGCATAATAAACAAAGAAACAAAAACTACACATTTCTAGAGAATAAGAGACATAGCTATAGTTACTGTTCGAAGGTGCCGTGTAAAAATATTCCTAACGAGCATCTTTCCAATTTTATTAAGGTACGATATTTCAAGAAGTGCTGAACTGTAACGATAATAACCTTGTGAAGCCTACGAAGGATTTTTAATAGAAACAAAATGTTCACAGCCATAATATAGACACAATGGTGATATACAGCATCCACCATATAGCACCGTAATATAAGTTTTTACTCATCATAAACTGTATTGTAATTTAAGTTTAACTTCATAAGTCTTACTACAGTTTAGGATCAAGGTCTTCTTGGAAGGTGTGCTC